TTTAACTTTGATTCTTAGTTTAAATAAAATTAAATTTGTATGTAAAATGGACTCAATTGAAATTATGCATCAAACAATATTTCAAATTTCAAGAGCTTCAAAAATAGAAATAACACAATAAATGTGTCTCATATTTCACTGTTTTGTAAGTGCACAGATAAACAAGCTGAACAGACAAAGTCAAATATTTAAATACTCCAGGAAATATAGGTGGAGAATAAATTTTCTTTTAAAGGCACCAGCTTTACAGAATTTCTAGAAATTTATTTGGCACTGGGAGCTACATTGTATATATTAGATATGGCAGTGAAGGAGTAAATTGAGAACATATATAACAGAACTGTAAGACATTAAGAGCCCGCTTTAATATAATCAGTGCTTGACAATAAAAAAATGGTATTGCGGAACATTTTTTTTGTTCTATAAAGGGAAAAAATACCACTAAAAAAAAATTTCAATTAAATAAATTAACAAGCAATTATCATAGTATTGCAAGCAATCCATAAGTCCTCTACCAGTTAGAACCCCATCAACATTCTGAAGGGCCATTGGCCATTCTCTAATGTTTCAATTTTTCTCTATTTTAAGTAAACTTATTGGAAAAGTTCTTTAAAAGTAATCACAGGAAACAATTTTTATGAACAGACAGACAGACGGACTGAAGGACACTCTAAAGTTAATATTTGAAACATCCCTGTTACCAAAATATAACATTTTAAAAGCAGAATTCTTAAAGAGGAGATAACTCTTGAATTAAAGATGCAATTTCATAAAAATTTTCAGCTCTTTTTGACTAATCACAAATATTGTTATATTTGCCATGTTTTAAGCCTATTTGTTGCCAAGGCAACTGATATTTTTTCAAAATAGGAAGAACAGATAAGACATGCATAATCTCAACACTGCTATCTACCCATATGTCAAGTTTCATAAAAATATTTCCAGTACTTTTTGAGTTATCACTGGATTCAGTTTATGTGTAAAATTTGCCATATTTTCAGTCTATGTGTTGCCATAGCAACCAGAATTTTCAACATAGGAAGAAAAGAAAAAGACGTGCATAATCTCAAGACTGCCATCTACCCATATGTCAAGTTTCATAAAAATATTTCCAGTTCTTTTTGCTTTATCACTGGATCCAGTTTATGTGTAAATTTTGCCATATTTTCAGCCTATTTGTTGTCATAGCAACCAGAATTTTCAACATAGGAAGAAAAGAAAAAAACGTGCATAATTTCAAGACTGCCATCTACCCATATGTCAAGTTTCATAAAATTATTTTCAGTACTTTTTGCTTTATCACTGGATCCAGTTTATGTGTAAAATTTGCCATATTTTCAGCCTATTTGTTGCCATAGCAACCAGAATTTTCAACATAGGAAGAAAAGAAAAAGACGTGCATAATTCCAAGACCGCCATCTACCCATATGTCAAGTTTCATAAAAATATTTCCAGTACTTTTTGAGTTATCACTGGATCCAGTTTATGTGTAAAATTTGCCATATTTTTAGCCTATTTGTTGCCATAGCAACCAGAATTTTCAACATAGGAAGAAAAGAAAAAGACGTGCATAATCTCCATACTGCCATCTATCAATATACCAAGTTTCATAAAAATATTTTCAGTACTTTTCAAGTTATCGCGGGATCCAGTTTTGTGGACTGACGGACTGACAGACAGACGGACGGACGGACGGACAGACGGACGGAGGGTAAACCTAAAGTCCCCTCCGGTAAACCGGTAGGGGACTAATAATGCTTGCTTGAATTGCTTAGTCTTGAAGAACATTTTGCATTTTTTTCATACTGCAGTAGCCCATGTCAGCTCGAATAACGTAAAAACATGTTCATTTAACAAATTGAGTTTTTTTTTTCAATGCTCAGGAATATTTAAAAAAAATCAGGAAAGCCATATGGCATTGTTTTCTCTCACTAACAAATGTTGCATTTTTAAAACCATTAAGATCTTGTCAAATGCTGTATGTAATGTCACTTTAGAAAAAAAAATCTGTTACCCTGTGACAGTTCTTGTGAACCATGCCTCACTCAATAGGTCACGTCTTGGAGAAAAAACACATGACACCTAAAATCCAATTAAATTCAAAGAGGAAAATCTATACAATATTTACAGCTACACCATGAAAATGCTGGCATTTTTTCAGATTAAGCTTCTAAAAAAAACAACAACAATAACAACAACAAAAATTTATCCAAAACCTTTTCAGCAAAAAATGAAACCCTGTACAATTCCCGATGCTAATTTATTTTCACTAATTGGTTTTACTCTGCCCCAACAATTCCCCTCTTGTTTTTTTCCCCTTTTAAATTTTAAAATGTTTGTTCTGTTGAATTTAAGTCATAACAACACTGTAATGATGATATGGCAAGTTTCAAGCTTCAGTTCCAGGAAAACCTCAGGTGCCCCTTTGGACAAAATCCCCTTCGCATACCCGGACAAAATCCCCTCCATGGGTGGACATTATAAATCCCCTTCATGTCTTTGCAAGACTGGACAAAATCCCCTTACCTACCCAGACAAAATCCCCCTGACTTTCATAGGTTTCTTATGTATTATTATGCTCCATAAAAATTGATGAATAATGTTAATGTATTATTAAGCTCCATAAAATTGATGAATAATGAACTTTTGTGTTTTGATTTATAATTATGTATCATGTTAATTCATATAATTGTATAAGCTTGATAAGACATTTTTTTTATTTGTTCAGTTCAATTATCAACCAAATTATCATTAAAAACAATTTCATTAGTTTAGCAGTGTTCATTATAATTGTGGTAAATTATCAACTGCAAAACAAATATATTTAATTAGACAATTTCTTTAATTGTTTTAAATTGATTAGTATGAAAAACATTTTAATTAGTTTAACAGTGTACATTTTAATTGTTTAGGGGGATTTTGCCCTTAGGTAGCAATTTTATTGAGGAGATTTCCAAATTTCACACATGAAGGGAATTATGTCCACCCATGGAGGGGATTATGTCCAGATATACAAAAATATATGAAGGGGATTTTTTCCGAAGGGGATTTTGTCTGACATTCGCCCCTTCCTGCATTATTTCAGGATTCAAACCTGCTGTTTAAGGGCAAATGTTTTGAAATTAACCACTAAGCCACAGAGAGCCCTCTAGTAAAATCTAAAGCCTGGAAGAATACTAAAGTTTATTTCTTTATGTTAAAGGTATATGTCAGTATTAATGCACAAGCATTAATACAAATTTTAAATCTAAAAGGCAAGTTACAAGTTATTGAATGTAGCACAAAAAAACATAATTGAGCCGCGTCATGACAAAACCAACATAATGGGTTTGCCACCAGCATGGATCCAGACCAGCCTGCACATCCGTGCAGTCTGATCAGGATCCATGCTGTTCACTTACAAACCCTATTACAAGTAGAGAAACTGATAGGGAACAGCATGGATCCTGATCAGACTGCGCGAATGCCCAGGCTGGTCTTGATCCATGCTGTCGTGACGCGGCTCATATTTTGAAAGAATTTTACGTAACTCCAGCAGAATAAATTGCATATGGTATGGAATGCCTCAAACATAAAACATTGAAAAAACTATAAAAGTGTACAGAATTTTTTTAACTCATAATTTAAATTTGTACATAGTTATACTATACATTTTGTATTTTCTAAATACAATTGAATTTAAAATACCTTATTTTATACATATTGATTTGATACTTGTGTCATTTTTTTTTATACATTTTTTCTTAAACCTGAATAAAATCAAATTAAATCAGCATTTGAATCAGAATTTAAGTTTTAAATTAAACAACAATTTTACGATTTTCCATCCTAACTGGTAGCAGCCAAGTGCAAAGTTATTGACAAACAACAGATTTAAATATAAGCTGTCGACTGTTTAGTAAATGGGTGTTTTATTAACTCTATAAACAGCCTTATGTGACATCTGTATACATAGTTAGGTTAAAGATTATTGGGATTAACAATTCTTGGCATTTTAACAGGCAGTCTGGTGCAAGATACAATATGCTATCAACCCATCAAATTCTCTTAAAAACAACATTAAAATGTTATCAATAAACAGAAGGGTAGTGTCTACAAACACTTTTAACTTGTATTCAAAAAGACAGCATATGGGATCATGTGTTTAAAGGTCATTATATTTACATTAACAACAACAACATCACCATCACTTATCTTAACAAAGTCACAAAAAAAACACCAAAAAAACAAAAACAACCAAACAAACAAATACAACAAAAATGGTATAGTTATGTATTAAATAGGCAAAATAAATCTGTTTCAAATATTCAAATTGAAAAATCTGTATCTTATTTCATTTACTTTAATTATATTTTATTTCTCAAATCCACCTAATTTTCTTTATCATATTGTGTTTTTGACGGTTTGGGTTCTTTGTTCTTGGTAGTTTTCTTATTGCTTTAACTTTGGAATAAGCCACACTAAAAATATAAAGGTCAGATTATGACTTTATCTATCTAACTTTATTTACTCACTTCAGGTGTTGAAACACTTTGAGTGCCCCTCTTTCATTAGTTCAGGGACACACTGTCATTTGTATGCCACTGACATGGCAACTTCCAGCTTGATAGATTCCATACATAAAATTATCTTAACTCATTGGCATGATTGGTACCTACAGCAGTTAGGGGTGGGAACTTGAAAGTCAGGAACCAGAACTATATACATTTTCTTTTTAATTTTTACCTTAAAACTGTACAATGGACTTATCCTGCTATTGAAATGAAATTTTCCATTCTATATGTAAGGTATTTGGATTTCAAAATGTTTATATTGACCTTTACCATTTCATGTAGCCAGCTTTTTATTTAAATTGACCTTTGGCTAATGCTTTCAATACATATATATTAGCGCAACTTGAACTTTCATTTCTTTAAACTTCAATTTTATACATAGACATCAAGAAAGTAGCAATATAATAAAGAGGAAAAATAATTTTTTCTGCAAAAACCTTTTTCAAAATATTTCTAGATATGAAACATAACAAAAATGACCAAATATATATACAAATTGGCAAAGGATGAACATTATTATCTAAGTTACAAACTCTTTAACAAGTTGGTGGTTAGTAGTAACCGGCCACACTTCAAACATCTCCTGGATGATCTGCGTGTCCCAGGCCGCAAGATGACGGATCTTGAACAGTGTCGCCATGACGCTCTGGACTGTAATCAGTTTACTTGGTGGCCGATTGGCCAACAGAAACAGAAAACAGGCAATCAGTCTGTTATGTAAATATTCCACTTTCTCTGGTTCCTTTAGCTCGCAACGATCTAAAGAAATGTACCAAATAGTAAAAGATAAGTGATATCACAATTAGATAGTATCTACTATTTTTACATCATAAATAAAGTTAATAGCTATTTTTAAGTCTTTAATATAATAATAATATAGCATTGCTATAATTCACTGATAATTCCTTTACAATTAAATCATTTCAAGTATCAACTAGAAATGTGCCTGTAGGACACAAATGTCTCCACATTCCCGTTTTGTCAATCTAAGGATGGAAAATGGTCAGCAGGACAGACAGACAAGGGCACATCTATATGACTCCCCAACCCCTCTCCCCTTCATGGAGGCATAACAAAAAGTTTTTAAAAAGATACGCACTGCTGTTAAATTCTTAAAAAATCAAATCAAAATGGTAATGTCACATTCAGAATATTTACTTTTACATGAAAGGACATACAAAATCCCCATGTGCTGGATATTAACCTGTAGCCTTTTGGGCAGCAACTTTTTCCACCCATAAAACTGGTGTAGAGAAAATCAGATGGCAAGAATCATGAATTTCATTGTTTGCTATAATTCAGTCAGTATTTATTATGATAACTTCCCTAAAAATGAGGAATAGTTTTGTCAAGATAGAATTAGATGGAAAAGTCCATTAAATATCTGTAGCCTTAGGTATTAGAAGGTTAAGCTACATTACATGTATGATATGAGACAGATGGATAACATAAAGTAGCTGGATTATTCCAAAGAAATATATATATACCAAATATTCTAAGTAACATCAATTTATACAGTTGATCACTACAAATTGGGAATGATCTGACCTTGATGAAACATAAATTATTCCTTTAACCCTGATCACACTCTATATCAGTTCTATAATGGATTTGCCCATATTTATATCTGGACAAAACCATTTATTATTTTAGGGAACATTTCTAAACTTACTTACGATATAAAGAACATTGCAGACCATGATCAGATAGCATGGATAATGCTGTTAGCAGTGACAAAGTTAACCTTTTCATTAATTTAAATCAATGTCAGTTATAATGCTGACCCTTTCATATTGCAATCTATATGCAAAGACATTAAACACAAAGTAACAAAACAAATGATTTTAAGGGGAGTGGTGGTGGCCTAGTGGTTAAGGTGTATGTCTCTCAACCCAGGGATCATGGGTTTGAGCCCTAATTGGGTTAGACCATGTTTCTTCATGTGACACCAGTACTGGTTGGTTCCAGGAAAAAAAAACAAAAAAAAAACAACAACACAAAAACATTCCCTAAAATCAGCTGCATGTTAAACTGATCACATGATCTACCGTGGGAGTAAATTGTAACAGCTGCTCTTCTTTGTAGACACATGTTTCATCAACATACAATAATAATGACACGAAACAAAGATCGATTAAACTCATTTGCAGTATTCAATTAATTATTGAATTATTATAGAATCAATATAAATTTAAACTATTACACTGTCATTTAGAAAGATTTTGAATTTGTTGATGAAGATTGGATTATATAAAATATACTGCAACATTTTTTCTGTAACATTAGTTTGCATCATTCAATCACATTTAAAGCATACACATTATTCACTGAATTATGGGCTGTAGAAACCGAACAACACGACTGGGTAAAGGGTGTCTGTAATAAGGCTGCTTAAAATTGGGAGCTTAATGACTTGTTTACATTGTGATAAAATACTTACAATACAAAATACATTATCATGAATCCTATCAAATTGATATGAAATGAAGGGGGCTTTTTAACTTTTATGAAATTTCAATTTCCATTGCACTAAAGCAAAGCTAAGATTAAGTAGCACAAGAATATTCTAACATTGTATTCTGTTTAGTTCTGAGATAAGAAATTTAGTTAAAACAAGCCAATTTTTTTAGACAATAATTATAGGGTTGAAATTGTTTATCAATGTATATTTTGAAAGCAATTCAATATATACTCTTCAATAAATTGTTTTCGTAATTTAAAATTATTTCGAACAATTTTTTTAAAGATGCACACCTCCAGATGAGCCAAAATATTTCAAAAAATTTAATCTTTAGAAAAATGTATTAATATCTTAAGAAAAGTAAATTAAAAGATTCAGTATTTTATGAATTATTTACACAATATGTGGGATTAATGACTGATTTTGCAGTATCAATCGCTTCAATTCTTCTGCGTTACTAACGCAGTAAGAGGTATTTATGTATATTTTGACCTCTTTTTGGTAATTTACGTGGATTGTAAGTGCCGTTTGCAATGTGTAGATTACTTTCTTTGTTCACTTCAAAATATTTTACTTTTAAATACATTTTCAAAATTTTCATAAAAAATAAGTATGAATCTGGAGGCATGCTGATTTAAAATATCTCTCATATCATAATTTGCTATATATTTTTAAAGTTTGCCTCTTCGCCATATTTCAAATAGATCATATGATGGTGAAATTATGTCCAAGGACATGAGACTCTTGGAAACTACAAATTGTCAAATAAATGTTATAATTATATATTTTTTGTTGGGTTATATGCAACACCAAAACTTAGTAAAGGTAATTATGGTGACTTTGTAGCTTCAGTGGTGGAGGAAGACCTGTCAGGTGCCCTTCTGTGAATTATATTAGGCATGAGCTGGCACCTGATTAACAACTGAACATCTGCAAGCTAGCTGGATAGCTTCCTCACTTGGAAGAATCTAAAGTCTTAAATGGGATGGGGCAAGTGTTAATAATGACAACTTAGCTACAATGGCCGCCAAAATCTTTGATAAAAAAGATGGCTTGAAATAATCTCTAGGTAAAAAGCTACATTAGACATGCATCTTAAAAGCAGGTTTGATTAGATGACAGTGAAAGGGAGAATAGGCGGGGCCAACATGCTCATTTGCATAAAGCGGAGAATAAAACAGGAAACAGGATTATTATATCACAGTAACTGTGGTTTGTTAATTATTAATGATTCATATTTTATCATAAGAGAGTTTAGCATGCTAGATCTCAAGTACAATAATAATTATTATAATAAAAGTTAAATTTAGTTTATCAATTGTTAACATGATTCATTAAGTAGTGCAAAAATAATGTGCTCTTTATTTGCACCACTTGAAAATTAATGATGGTTTAAAAAAAAACAATCTTAATTTCTCACGTGACTTTAAACTTCCTTAAATGTATCTTAGGTACAAAGTACTGTGTTGAAATAATTCAGATTAAACTTCAAGTACTTTAACTGAAGATAAATTTAAAGGAAACAAAGTTTTTTAAATGCCCAGCTGATTTAATTTTTGTAAGATTATTCCAGAACCACAAACAAAGCAAAGAAAACATCAGTGCAGATTAAGCTATTATTTACAACTACATCAAACTACCAAACACTTGATACCTCGGTTGAGAAGAAAACACATTAACCAACAGGCCATGACACGCCTGTTTCTAATTAAATGTCTTCTTGTTAAGCATCACAAGAAATTGAAAAACATTCAGGAGTAAGATATTACCATTATTACGATAATTTAAGGGTGTAAATTAATCTCCTTTTTTACCAGTAACTCATGGCGGGAGTCTACGATACACATTCCATATAATAACTATATTTAATACTGATATGGTAAATAGTCTCGGTTAAACGATGTTATAAGTACTGTAATTTTTTTCTTAAGAAAATGATTTAGTAGACGAAAAGGGTTCAACTTATTATGTGAATTACCCACCTGGGAAAGTCATAATCAGGGCTTTAAACATTATCGTTTCTTCAAAGCTTAGCCCAAGCTGCGTCACTTCAAACAAGGTCTGGATCTTGGTGGTACAATAATTTCGGGGGAATATTTTACTTATTTCATCAAAGTGATATTCTTTATCCCATGGCAGCGTTGCAATTTTCAGAGAAGATTTGACACATTTTCCTATTTTCCCGAACTGTATATTATCTGCTTCAAACCTTGATGCTGAAACGAAATATTACTAACCCTGTATATCAATTCACAATACCCGCGGGTGAAAAATGCCCCCTTTGATTGGCTGAAAATGTAATCTACTGGTACATGTAACTGAAAACATTGGAAGGCAATTCCAACCCAACAAAAATCTTAAATAAAAGAATCTAGCTCCTGGTGGCACTGAAAACTATTTTGTCCCATGAGGAAACTGGGCTGTAGTGAACAGACATTTACTGAAGGTTTCTTTATTTTGCCTAAATTGTTTCTTTGTATATATGTTTTTGCATGGGCTGGAGGCCTTAAAAGGGAAATATTAAAGTATTGAATTGTATTTCCAGTCTACTGAAAATTGCTTTTGATTCTCTGGTGATGTTTAACAACCTTTTTTTATTACATCAAATTATAATTTTTTTTTGCTACTTAAAGTTCATCAATTCAGACACATCCACTTTAATAAATTAATTAAAATCAAAATGTACAAACCTGAAATAAAAAAAAATCAGTAAAACTTTGAAATGAAAATATTTTTTCAACATTATAGACAGTTGTAACCTCTATAATCTGATGCAAGTCATTTTTTTCAATATATAAAAGATAACAAGAGCTGTCAATAAGACTAATGTACTCAACTAGTGTAATGCTATCAAAAGGTATGTCAGACACATGGGACCAGTGCCCACCATGTTATATAATCTCAGAGAACAATTCAGTGTGTGTGAAGTATCATTACCCATTTCCATCAGTAATTTTAGCTAAAAATAGTAAAGCAACTAATATTAAAAGAGTAAAGCAAGAAACAGATTAGTTACATTAGCAGTTAAAGTTGATATAATTGTGTTAGTAGTAATTTTTCAGTCCAACTATGTTAAGTTGAATAGCTTGACCTAGTGTTAGTTTCAAAAACTTCATTTTAATTGAACTATTTGAACTTACTAATATTTTATGTGTATCAAGTTTAAATTTATTCATTGTTTTGATTTTTTTTTTCTTTTTCCAGCTGAACAAGTCAGTCTGAAATCCAAGAAATTCTGATTTTCCCCCCAAAGTTTGTGTGAATTATTGAGTCAAAATGAGTCAAAATTCAATATTTTAGCTATAATGATCAATTCTTTCATTTTTCCATATTAACTAAATTTTACAAATGCTTTTCCCAAAGTCCCCAAAAGATGAAATAATGAATAATTTTAAAAACAGAAAGAACACATGTTATAGAAAAAAAACTTATTACTCAAACTAAGCACCTGACATAGATGGACTGTAGGAAGAAGTACTATGTGAACATGAAAATAAATCAAACCATGCATCATTAAGAGTAAAAGGAAACGAGCGAATTTAAGGTGTTGCATAGGTGGCCTATGAGAAAATTGCACCAGGCGTGGGGTTCTAGGGTGGATGGGGAGTGAAACCTTATCTTCAGTGTCAAATGCAGACATGCATTATGAAATGGACAAAAAAACAACATCATATATGATCATTTTTCCTACAGAATTCCTCTTTCTAAATGACAGTGTAATGTTTTATGGTAACAAAATCATTTTTCCTACTAAAATAACAAACCTGGAAATGTGAGAATAATGGCTTTTATTAATATGGTTTCCTCTGCTGACAACTTAATGTCTTGAAATTCATTCATTATGGAAACCTTTCGGTCTAAGTATTCAAGCGGGTAAAGTTTGCCTAATTCGTCTATGTGGTATTCTTTATTCCATGGGGCCGTGGCAACTTGGTATCCGGATTTCCGGCAGCCCCTGCTACCTGGCATAATAATCACCCAGAATTCAAATCTTCCCGCTGCAAAACATTACCATATTTTATTACTTATTTTACTACTTTATTACTACAACATACCACACCATTCAAAATCATTCTTATTTTACATTTTCCTTTCATGACTCTTCAGTTTTATGTTGTTTTTGTTTCTAACGAATGCTGTAAAGGTCAAAAAGTAAGTCTGTAGCTTATGTGGTGAAGTTAGACTTCTGTTTCCCCCGTGGTCATTACTTCAGATATGAGTTGGCACTAAGCAAAGTAAATAAGAAGCCGTCCGGTTAGCTCAATGGGTAGAATGTTGGACTTTGTCGGTGACCTCGGTTTGATTCCCGGACAGTGCATTTATTATGATTGATCATGAAATCTTTCTACGGTCATTTGCACTGTACCTCTGCTCTAACATGCACAAAAGTTCCTTGTGAATGTGAAGGCAACTTGTACTGGTCAACTGTTTGACAGACTGCCCAGGAACGATGCGGCGAGCTTGATTGGCTCGCGGCTTACTGTCCTTATCCGGAGTGAAAACTACCAACACCGACATAAGTAAATAAGTAAAACCACTGACAATCCTAAAGCTAGCTGTGTAGCTGAATCTATGCCAATATAAGAATAGAATCTTAATTTTCAAACTCACCGGAGTAAGATAATATATCTATTACCTATACTTGAACAATAACTTTTCATAAATAACTATATACATTAAACAATATATGAATGATATATTAATAAGACTTAAAACTATTATGTAAGGAGTTAAATAGAAAAATAAAGGACAGAAATAAGGAGTTGGGTATGTATGTAAAGAAAGAATGTTAACAAAACCTTCCAAGAAATAAGTCCAAAATAAAAAACAAAGAACAATGAAACCCTTATATTATATATATAATAACATATGTATACATCATTTTCACGGTGATAGCGCATTTACCACAACTTTTCCGCGCAACATCAAAATATCATACTTCTGACCGTGACACTGTATATTTCTGGATAAAATATTAATGGCGGGATAACCAAATTGCAGGCAATAGCTTACACAATATCTTACTACTGGACGTTGCAAAATTATTCCAATTGTTTAAGTACTCAATCAAATTTTTGAAACAATTTATCGTTAATCAAGCACAGCAAAATTCACAAATAATTACATACTTCGAAGAAATAGTGTTTACAAAAGATCGTGTCTACCTCAACATGACTCGTACTTGTCACAAAAACAAAAACGACGATGTATTTGTTCTATGACCTTACGAGCTCGTGTATACATTATGGTTAGGCATAAATTCAAGTTCCATACAAAATTGTGTGTTTCTATTGTTAATTTTAGGGAATATAATATTATGTTGAAAAAAGGCCTATTGACTTGAATATTGGAGCACCGTACAACACTAAATTTAAACACCGCATTCTTTTTCTGTTTGACCAATAAATACTGGAACCGTTTTCATTTGCACCATACTTTATAAGTAACTGTTAATTGACCTGTTGTTATGTTATGTTGCTGTTATCATATGTTATTTTATGGAAAACTTCTGAAGGTCTGGTCTATGTAAATAATTCTAGTTAGATAAGTGCAATGGTATCCATATAGATAAGTAAGTCGATATCTTTTCTTTTTTCGAACTTATTCAAACAAACTTATGCATCAGTTCACCACCTTGTACATGTATATGTAACTATTAAACTGAATCATATTTTTTAATTCATTCACTTTGCTTTATCTCTTGCATCACAGTAAAGTGATTTTATTATGTTTTTTTTTTCTGATTGGTTATCCGAAACTCATGATGTCCAGTAACGACCATGGAGATGTATCGTAACATTTTTTCTTCACGGAAACAATTTTATCTATGCTTGGTAACCTCATCAAAGAATGATCTTTCCATGTGGGGTTTATCCTTATGAATAAGTTCGAAAAATATCTATGTAGATATAATTGCACTTACCTAACTGGGATTATTTACAGAGACAAGATCTTCAGAAGTTTTCCATAAAATAACATATGATTATAACAGCAACATAACATAACAGCAGGTCAATTAACAGTTACTTATAAAGTATGGTGCAAATGAAAATGGTTCCAGTATTTATTGGTCAAATGGAAAAAGAATGCGGTGTTTGAATTCAGTGTGGTACGGTGCTCCAATATTCGAGTCAATAGGCCTTTTTTCAACATATATTCCCTAAAATTTACAATAGAAACACACAATTTTGTATGGAACTTGAATTCATGCCTAACCATAATGTATACACGAGCTTGTCAGGTCACAGAACAAATACATCGTCGTTTTAACACATGTTTTTGTGACAAGTACAAGTCATGTTGAGGTAGACACGATCTTTTGTAAACACTATTTCTTCGAAGTATGTAATTTTTTGTGAATTGTGTTGTGCTAGATTAACGATAAATTGTTTCAAAAATTCGATGGAGTACTTAAACAATTGGAATAATTTTGCAATGTCCAGCAGTAAGATGTTTTGTAAGCTATTACCTGCAATTTGGTTATCCCGCCATTAATATTTTGTCCAGTAAGATAAGGTGTCACGGTCAGAAGTATGATATTTTGACGTTGCGCGGAAAAGTTGTGGTAAACGCCCTATCACCGTGATTTCAGAAAAATTAAATATTATTCCAAGTGTTGCACTGTAAAGATAATCAATATTGCTATTATGAACAAACAAGAGCACTGGCTGTGGTGTTAACACCAGTGTCTGTTAAAATAACCACTTTTGACATAACTGCATCTTATCAAGATAAGCAATTATTCCAAGTTTCATTAAGGGGTTGTTTCATGACAATGCAATGCTATCATTATAGCTGAACTTTCTCTTCCAAACAGACGTCAGATAGAAAGGTACTTTAAAGGTGATCAGTTTTTCTTAGCATATTATGTATAAAAATGTCTTTGTCACACTTTTATGAATATAAATGTATACTGAATAAAACAAATATTTATTTATAAAACTGCCCTTACAGCTAATGAACCTTACTTGTATGTATAATTCATGTTCTTTAAAATAAATCTTTCAATATCCAATCATTTTGATAAGATACAGTCTATACTTTTCCCTATAAACTCTCTTGTTACCTTTTACAAGATTGACCTGGTCATCAATATCGAGCTCAGAAAAACCTGGGATGGCTTTGGCGAATTTAACGAGTTTACCGATCGATTCTTCCATGTATTTCAACGCTTCAATGAGAATTTCCTGTCTATTGTCTATGTCGATGCCAGTCTGCTTGTAAAATTCAAGATATTCTTCCTTCGAGATATTCGACATGTTGCCAAATACTTGCATCTTGGTAACATATTGTTCCTGTAACAAACAAAATATGATGGAAATTTAAGTCACCCCATGCACATACTTGAAACCTTTGCATGATTTGCAAATAAATTAACCCCCATTTGATTGTACAACTTATTTCTTTAAACTAATGTAGCCTATGGTTGTTTTTATCACCTTGCCAGTTGAGGTCAGGGCAAGCAAGCTTTTGGGTCAGGGCAAGTAATTTTCAGAAGCACTTGCCCGACAGGACAACCAAATGAAAAAGTTAATGTCAAGGCCGGTTAACTTAACTGTGTACATATGTAGCAGCTTTTAATTGAATGCTTTAGTTCAACTACATGTTATTATGGAAAAAAGCCTTTATGGATTTACTTATTCATAAATGGGACTGCTTCTATTTTTTTGAATATGATAATTCTATTTTGATAAATGTAATTGAAATCATTTATTTTCATTTACGTTTTTCATACTACAGTTCAACTTCATGCTTTCATGCTTACATGTATTTTTCTTTCATTTTGTTTAGCTAAGAGACTTTGGTCTCTCTCTGTTTTGAGGAAACAACTGTTCCTGTAGAACACAGAATTTAATATTTTTTTGTTCGAAGTGGGAATTAAATGCAACTTTTGCTGACTCTAAAGTTAGAGACAAATGCACCCTAAAGGTAAGCATTAAGCAATCGTTAGTTAATTTGCTAACAACAATGACTTTTTAATCGTACTTTGTGAACTTGTAATCCATAATTTTCAATAAAGAATATATATTGTACTTTGTTATAAGGCCATCACTGAAAAATTTCCGTTTGCAGTTGCGCAACCCACATTTTTAACATTGAATTGGTAGGCCGGATTTCTTAATTTTTCTTATATTTTAGTGATGATTCAAGCAAGCAAATGCTCATTTTTTTTATCCAAAAAAAATTTGCATGCTGGGTGAGTCAAAAAATATTTTTAGGTCTGTTCAATTTCAATGAGTCAGTTGCGCAAGTGCAAACCAACAATTTTTTTACATATGGCTTAATCATGGAATTAACATTAATTCAATACGACTAAACAATTCCAATGATCTACATTCACTTAACCTACCAAATATGCAGCGTGTCTTTTCTTGATCTCTTCGCACGACATTTTCTTCGCACTTTCAAACAACACGCCAGCTGCCTGCCCTAACGTAAGAATTAACTGCGTTGCTTCTTTTACGCTCATATTATCACCCACGTGTACAGCTGGATTCTCAAGCCTTGCTAACTGTTGCTCTTGTATTAACAAATCTTCCAGATTATCCGTTTGGTTCTCATTATTAACTTCTTTCCCTGTAAAGTAACCTTCATTGCACTCTCGGTCCGAGGAAACTGGTTCTTCAATCATATTTGCTTTAGATGCAATGAATGTATTTCCTTCCAGTTGGCCTGGAACATTTTCACCATTAACCTGATGGTAGCCATTCTCTAGAATTTGAATGTTTTGAGAAATGTCACCATTAATTGTATTGTTTTCCAGCAATGTGCCATTCACTGGGTGTCCTGTGTTGGCATTATATACCTCACTAGAATAGTTATTTTCCATTTCTGTGAAGGCAGGTGATTCAGTCATTAATGTCACTGGTGCCTTCAGCAAATTTTCAATTGGAGATTCTTCCATTAGTTTACTGTCATGTAATTGCTCCGAACCTCGATTTTTCGAGTTAATCTCACTGCCATCGTATATTCCCAAAAGTGCCGTTGTCAAGGCTTCCTCACCAACAGAATCATACGGAACTTCACCAATATGTTCACTTATTCCATTATGACCCGGGACAATCTGAATATCACTATCGACATGTACACTACCTGTTGAAGACACTGTGTTTGAGACAATTGGTTGGGTGAAAAGATTTTCAACTGGGGAAAACTCATCTGAAAATGGGCCATATGTTTCAAAAATCTGCGCTAATGGAGAAAAGGCCTCTTCCTCTTCGTTCACACTCACCAAATGATCGATATTTGGCATATTTACTTCACCATCTGAACTAGATAAGTCTGTAGTTGTGATTCTGTGTGAAGTAAAAAGTTGTTCCATTGGTGAAATTTTGGTGTCTGAATCGTTGTCAGATGTCAATAGCTGTTCGACAGGTGATAAAGTTTGATTGAGGGACACTGCAGGGGGCTTCAGTTTGTTATTCTCCATCAGAGATTTAAAGATACTATTTGTAAGTGACTGGTATAGTAAACCATCCTCCTCGTCATGCCGGCGCTTCTTAGCACTGCTTATCATCTTTTTCTCTTGTAAACTAAGGGAGGTAATATCTGAAGATAACTCTTCAGGTGAACTAACACTCTGACCTGCGGAAAGACAATCAACCTTGCTACAACAATTATCATCGGCAAAGATAATGACTAAAACCTACAGTATCAAAGCAGCTTGCCTCCAGAATCATGTTAAATTTCATGAGAATTTGAATATTTTTATTTTTTTCAAAAATTAAGATGTTGTTCAGTGTACATACAAAGTAATTTACACATTGCGAAGGCTACTTTCAATATAACTTATTAAACTGAAAATGTAAAATGTAAAACTTTATTCTGGTGGAGTAAATACTTAGGTTCCCCTCTGTTATTCATTTTAGACAGGCACCTAAGCAGAACCATAATTTTCATATGCTAGCTAGACAGCAAACTTTAACAAAAGTACTATGCCAAATGGGACACCAACCCACAGCAATGAGGGACAAATGATTTGATCTCTGTAGACAGCAACCTAAATCCCAAAGCCTCAAAGGTCAAGTAGGAAGTTTTTATTTTCAACGAAGAACCTTACTTGTACTGTACGGGGAGCTGGATGAAGTACTTTTAGAACTCTCACTGGCCCTTCGTACACCCTCGGTTTTCTCCCCGCTCTTCAATGTCTTCACTTCACGGTCATTTTGACGTTTACGTGAAATCGTGTATCGACCAATCTTGATAGCTAAAAGTGAATACATTTAACTTATGTTTATTAAAGCTTTTCCCTTATATGTTTGTATTTTGAATCAAATACTGGTCAATGAATTAAAACCACTGTAATAGTAAATCAATTTATCACATACCCGTGCCACTTTTACAACTCCATAAAAATGGTATTGCACAGCCGTGCATATATGTTGACATGACAGCATTTGCCTTATAGCATAGCGTCATGACATGCTAAATATTATCATTGAAAAATGGTTCTTTTTCACTTCCAACAGTCTTTAGGTTTGGTATGTGATAAATAGAATATTAAATTCATGTAATTTCATTACTGAATTTATTGAAGTCGTTGAATAAAATTATTCAACTCATTCAATAAATTCAGTATTAAGCTTACAGTCATTTAAATTCCTCTATATATAGAATGATTAAACACTTATCTGTATCATGTTCCGACCAAATTTGATTATCCTTTACCCTCAGTCTGGTTCCTGGCCAGGCTCTACATCTATGCATTTAGATCAGGCTCTTTACAAAGCTGACTATATCTACATTTCATCTACAGATCCCTTAAACTGATAACTGACATTTCCCAATATAGATGCTGGACCAGTCCATTTAAGAAATTCATCAGGTTTCAGTTAAACTTCCCTACTATATAAACCATTGTTAGTTAAGATAACAAATTATGTTTTGTGGCAGCATGGCTGAGTAGATAACCCGTCAGACTTAAACAATCTTATGATCCCTAGCTGTGTGGGTTCAAACCCTGTCAAGGGCAATTTGTTTTCTTGAACTTTACATTCATTGCTCAGTACTTGTTGGTTCCAGGAACAGATTTGAAAGTGTGTCTATAATGCTTAAAGTGTCCTACACAATCATACTGGATTAAATTCTGTACATGTATATTCCAAATTTCGTTACTAAGTTTCTAACAAAGTACCATCTTTTGACATTCCTGTCTTGATACATCTCTCATACCGACATTTAGGACATGTTGTTTTCCTCGGCTCATCAGTGCCTAGGGCTTTTTCTTCAGGTGTACAAGTACATTGGAAATTGATTGTCGACTTCTTCAAGGTACGTCTAAAGAAAGCCTAGAAATAACATTATAAAGTATTACATACATGACTAAATTATATTGTATATAAGACAAAGTAAAGTAAAATGAAAATACATTAAAGAACAACAGCTGCCTGAGGAACAGCATGCTCCACTTCTCTCAATACTAGTTAGTAAACTAGTAACAAGAATTTGTAACAGAGTTACCAACGTCCCCTGCCCCTGGAGTTTTATATGAAGCATAAACTGTTAACCTTTGACCTCTAAGTGTGACCTTGACCTTAAGAGGTAGGGGTGCAGGTGTTGTACCTGACATATCGGCTTATTATTGTGACTATTTGTGCCAAGTTATTTCAAAATCCTTTGAACTATGAAGAAGTTCTAGATTCGACACAAAATATACCCTATAACAGACTATGTTAATTTTTGACCTCTAAGTGTGACCTTGACCTTCCAGGTAGGGATGCAGGTGTTGCGCATGACACATCCTCTTATTATAGTGACTATTTGTGCGAAGTATTTTCAAAATCCTTTGATCAATGAAAAAGTTATAGACCTGACACAAAATATACCCTGTAACAGACTATGTAAGTATTTGACCTCCAAGTGTGACCTTGACCTTGGAGGTAGGTGACAGGTTTTTGCACATGACACATCATCTGATTATTGTGAACAATTATAGCAAGTATTTTCAAAATCCCTTCATAGATAAGGAAGTTATGGACCGGACACAACATATACCCTCAAATAGACAATGTTGACCTTGAATGAGCAAGTACGACCTTGACCCTGAAGGTACGGGTCTAGTTGTTGCGCATGACACATCGTCTTATTATAACAAACATTTGTGCCAAGTTATCTCAACTTCCTTTGATAAATGACAAAGTTATGGACCGGACACCAAATATACCCTGTAACAGACTATGTTAATATTTGACCTCCAAGTGTGACCTTGACCTTGAAGGTAGGTGACTGACTTTTGCGCATGACACATCGTCTGATTATTAAGAACAATTATGGCAAGTATTTTCAAAATCCCTTAATTGATAAGAAAGTTATAGACCGGACACGACATATACCCTCAAATAGACAATGTTGACCTTGAATGAGCAAGTACGACCTTGACCCTGAAGGTACGGGTCTAGTTGTTGCGCATGACACATCGTCTTATTATAACAAACATTTGTGCCAAGTTATCTCAACTTCCTTTGATAAATGACAAAGTTATGGACCGGACACCAAATATACCCTGTAACAGACTATGTTAATATTTGACCTCCAAGTGTGACCTTGACCTTGAAGGTAGGTGACTGGTTTTTGCGCATGACACATCGTCTGATTATTGTGAACAATTATGGCAAGTATTTTCAAAATCCCTTCATAGATAAGAAAGTTATAGACCGGACACGACATATACCCTCAAATAGACAATGTTAACCTTGAATGAGCAAGTACGACCTTGACCCTGAAGGTACGGGTCTGGTTGTTGCGCATGACACATCGTCTTATTATAACAAACATTTGTGCCAAGTAATTTCAAATTCCTTTGATAAATGACAAAGTTATGGACCGGACACCAAATATACCCTGTAACAGACTATGTTAATATTTGACCTCCAAGTGTGACCTTGACCTTGAAGGTAGGTGACTGGTTTTTGCGCATGACACATCGTCTGATTATTGTGAACAATTATGGCAAGTATTTACAAAATCCCTTCATAGATAAGAAAGTTATGGACCGGACACGACATATACCCTCAAATAGGCAATGTTGACCTTGAATGAGCAAGTGTGACCTTGACCCTGGAGGTAGGGGTCTGGTTGTTGCGCATGACACATCGTCTTATTATAATAAACATTTGTGCCAAGTTATTTCAAATTCCTTTCATAAATGACAAAGTTATGGACCGGACACGAAAGTGTGACGGACGGACAGACGGACGGACGGAGCCTATTTCTATATCCCCCTTTTTTCTTCGAAAAGGCGGGGGACAATAAGGATATTGAAGATTATGTCCATGAAAAAAAACTTAACCAAAAATGCCAAAGCTGAGCCATTACAATGGTTTAGCTTACTTGTTGAAAAGTCAATCTTAAAGAAAGCATAATTATCTACTTTCAGCCATGTGAAGGGATAAATGATAATATTATAATTATCATAGCACAGGTCTCTAAATTAGTGAATTGTTTTGTTTGGTTTTAAAAGATTGAAGTCCAAAAGCCTTTGGATGTACATCATATAACTAGAGTTTACCATAATTTATGATAAGATAAAATTTCATGCAATTACTTCTTTCTTATTTACATGTTTCTTTAAAGTAACAGTAGCTTAATAGAAATACCATATATATTTGGTTTGTTGCTTGTGTTTTAATCAAAATAAGAATAAATTGGAGAAGTACAACACATCAACACCAGAGCTGGTTAAGGTTATTTATTTTCTTCTATCGAACCATCATCATTTGTGCTTTAAGTGAAGACAGGCTGAAAGCTTGCAATGGGGAAAATTTTTAATTTTAATCAAACAAAAACATTCTTACCTTACAAGCCTCACATGTGTTAACACCATAATGTAATCCAGAGGCTTTGTCACCACAAATTCTACAGGGAGGTAACTCTGAACCTATCATTAAAACATAAATAGTACTTTAAAGCAATCATAATCATCCATTAACCTAGATTATGTTCATCTAATAATGTTTTTATCTTTTATTTCTCAAAAAGATTTGAAATTTACTTTCTGTTCCCCATGATAGTTTTTAAAAAGTTACTCAATGACTAATCATCTGAACCTTTTTTTTTGGCTTCTTTACATTTTAAACAGAATAAAAAGTTCCAGAACAAAATATTATTTTGCTTTTTACAGTAGGCTTTACAGCTTTTACCTATTTAGCAATGATTTTGTGCATACACAATTCTATTCAAGTCCATTTACTACCATATTTATTTCATTCAAGCATTTTGGAAGTATTCTTTTTTTTAAATTTTGAACAATAATGTTCGCAGTAGATTATGATATATATTTTTATAGACTATTTTGCAGATTGAGGAATGTTTTCTGTTTATGGTCATCAATATCCAATTGTACAAATACTATTTTGTTTACATTTTTTACATTATTGACAAACAATTCCACATTTAGCAATTCTTTCTTCAGGTATTTAGCATTTAATATGCTCTAAAGTGATTATTTAAACATTATAAAACTCATGTGGTTGCTTTCTTTCTAAAGATTTTTTTATTTGTTTCTGTGTTATTAGTTACATGTACTTACTCAATGGGGTCCAGTCACTGGCTTGTTGTGGGACTGGCATTTTCCCTGTACTTGATGTCAGCTGCCCATTGGTCATTTTATAACCAATCAACTCTATTCCACTACTGGACAGGTCAGAGGCAACTTCCCCATTTAATCTTACACCTGATTTCACCCCACTTCCTAATGGACTAGACCTTTTATTAGCTGCCTTTTGACTGGCTGGTGATTTCACTGTCTCAGATTTTGTTGAATCAGCAGATCCCTTCCTCACAGAAACTTTACCACCTAAAACCTGTTTTGATTGGACATTTGGTGCATTGAAGTCTACTGATACAGAAGCTGGAGATATCACTTTCCTGTTCATCATTTTTTGCTGGTTTGGTATAGGAGGTAACTTTTTATAGGCCGGTATTTTAGGATCTTCCTCACCAGACGTTTGTTTCTTGATAACTGTTGATGTCATGATTAAGGTTTGAATAATTGCTTCATCTGGAAAACAAATTCATTTTAAAAACAAGTGGCATGAATGGTCACAAAATGAGGTCTTTCCCAAATATTAGCAGTACATTGTAAGTGAAAAAAAAGCTGTCCATAAGTCAGCAAGCTCTACTATTATAACAACCTGATTTCTGAATAATAACATGTGACTGTCCTTTAAAGATCTCTTAAACGAATTGTAAAAAATAGTTTTAAAACATTACTTGACAGTGGCAAAGTCAGGCAAAGTATAAGGGGCTTTTTATATATATTAAATGTTATTACCTTAAATGAGTATAGTAAAATGGTAGTAAACTGGTGGTGGCACAAAAAACTAAAACCAAATTTCATTGTCGATTAAGGGACATAATTTTCTCAAAGCCTATGACAGAGTTATGACTCATGCCTGGATAATTACAAATTCTTTTAAAAATTTCAAGGTATAACATTAGATTTTAAGGGTATTTATATGTAAATGCAACAGTTTGGTCACTTTAAGAGATCTATTCAAGTTTGGTGCTTATACTCAGGTCGGGGACCATCAACGGCACACTTTTTGAACATTTTTCCATACAGATTTCATAATTTCAAACCTAGAGATCTAAAAATTTGAAACAGTACAGTAGAGCTGTCATTGATTCAATGCAAAGCATATCAACGATATATCGATATCAAGTAACTAAAATCAACGATACACCGATACATCGATAATATCCAATACTCACTTGTCTGTCATTAATTTTCATACCCATTTCAGTGATTTCAGTCAAAAACATGTTCTGTACAGTGTCTTGTCCACTGCATGATTTTTTCTAGAAAATATTTTTTGTGACCATTGCTATGAAATAATTCCACTATATAACAAAAGCATCACATTTGATATAAATAATTGTTTCTGCATATATTTTGGGTGAATTGTATAATTTCTAGACATTTAATTTATTAGTCAAAAGTATCGATTTTTTAAAATGTGTATCGATTATTGATCGACAAAAAAATATCAACGATACATCGATATTGTCGATATCGATGACAGCTCTACAGTACAGCTAGGTTCTTCTCCTAACTAACATACTAGTTTGTTTATTTCTGATTGTATTAACACTTATATCTGAGGCTCGTCAAGGAGGGTATCAAAATTACCTAAATTGTCTACACTACAGTACCATGTGACCGGACAGATATGAACATGACATGATTTAATCAGATAAAAGCTTGGGTGTTTAGAATTTTTGATTTTTAACATGATATACAATATTTTAGCAACAAATGCTGAAATTTTAGATTTTCTATTGTTTACTCTGCAAATGATTATAGCTGGTATATAAGGTCAGGCATGGCTTTCTTGGCGCCCACATTTCAACGTCAACATTTTTGAAATAGACATTAAAATATTACCATTTACTGAGGTTGAAATGAATTTATTCACTTAATTATAGAAGAAACATGCATTTCTTGTCGATAAAAAAGTGACTGACAACCAATGAACAAAGAAAATACTAAATTAAGCATTTTCTGGGCCGTCCAGGTTGGGTAGTTGTCTGATTTTGGTGGTCTCGAACCAGTATGTATAGATTGCACTGAATTTTATGCATTGTTAATTGGATATGGGTGTAACTGTGCCCGACAATGCTCTAAAAAGTGTGCGATTTAATACATAACCTAACAAAAGCTTTGTATCTGGTTTTAGTTCAAAATGCAGGATAATTAGCATATCATGCAGGACAAGTAGAAATTTGAAGCCACTCGTCCTGTCGGACTAGCGGCTCTAAGAAAAATTCGATCCCTGGCTAAACATCTTTTTTTCTCAAATTTGTTCAGTTTGTGCACAGTGGAATAATACTAGTCTCAATATTTCGACTGCAAGACAGACCGATTTTATAATCTGATATTTCATAGATGTCTGTCTTAAGGGCGACCATCGTCTATAAAAGTGCATAATTTGTTGGGCTAGAATAATACAGTAACATATTTTCCATGTTTTTGACACACTTTTCCACACTGTACTGAAAGGAAATCAATAAATAATATAAAAGTTAAATAATCCATAAATACTCACCTGGCATAAAATTTTCTTTGAAAATTATTTATCTACTTTGATTATCATCATGGCCGTCACTCGCCTAGAATTTTGCAAAAATATTTCATTGACAGTTAGGGAATTTTCTCCCCTGAGAGAAGTTGTCATTCATAAATTTAGAGAATATGAGTAACAACCTATCCTATAAACGTAACTTGCATAGGAATTAACATGAAATTTTGTTCTAATTTCTGTGGAAACTAGAACAGGTAGTTTTTCCGTTTTTGTTGACATTCATTGGCAGGTACCTAACTTCAACATTAGACGGGTACCAGACAACGATAGGTCACTCTTATTATATAAAACACACCCTCTTTTTATAGTTACCTCCCTTAGAAGAACAGTGCGCTTGGTAAGGGAGGCTAATGTGGTTTCAGATAATTTAATCTCATACGCAGTGACCTCCCCTTAAAAGCTAACTTCATAGTATTACATGTTATCGGCGTCGGATCAAGCCCTACCCCCAGGGTACCACCCCCAGGACCAGCTATACTACCCAAAATACGTGTCAATACAAAATCAATGAATTCTATAAAAATATTTCTGAGACTTTAAACTATGTACATAGTTTATAGTATCAGTAATATATTTTTGATTTGGACACGTATTTTGAATGTGTTGAAGTATATTATATATATAAACATGTATATGTATACAAATCAATCAATAAATCAATCATTAAATCAATTAATCAATCAATCAATCAATCAATCAATAAAAGCCATATTATTAAGAAATTGAAATTGAAAATTGTGATGCGTGAATTAAAAAGGTGGCGAGTTTTATAACGATAATATTAAAGGAATCGCGTTTTAATAACAAGATTTTCTAAGATTTTTATGAAGATGAAATGATTGATTGGTCATTTGCTTTTATTAATTTTTATGGCAGTTAAATTTTTCAAATAAAATTTAATTAAATTGTTCTTACATCTTTTATATCTAAATGGATTCATTGATAGATTTTTTTTATTGAATATTAGTGTTTAAATTATTTTTGAACAACAGAAAGGCAGTATTTTTTATAACACTTTACTTTGGAAAACTATTATTCAGACGAGTAAATTGATCGAGTGTTTGAAATTATTTTAATCAACCGGTTAAGTGTGCTGTTATTTTGTAAATGCTTACGGAATTCTATTTGAAAGACCTTGTAAATACTAACATAATTATACAAAATACAATGTAATATTGAACCATCCGACAGGTACCACAAACAGCACTAGAAAGTCAAGGAAATAACACCATTTCAACCTCAGATTAAAAAAAATTCTCATTCTATTTCATTAGTTTCTGATGCATGTTCAGAATTAAATACGCGATTCTACATTTTCAGCAACGATGCTGGCATATCTACGGGCGTCGGGATGGTGGCGGTGGTGGTGGTGGTGGTGGTGGTGTGTGTGTGTGTGTGTGTGGGGGGGGGGTGATGCCCGGCCTGCATTATCAATAAAAGCTTTACACGATTGCAAGGTATGCGGTGGCTGAACTGTGCTCTGGTGAACTCAAAGTGCTTAGATTACATTTTTACAACCAAGCTAGCTGAATCATAAAAAGAGAGATTCAGTTATCCTGTGGAATGAACAAAAAATTGTAGGGGACACCCGGGTTCGAACCAGGGACCTCTCGATCTGCAGTCGAATGCTCTACCACTGAGCTATATCCCGTATAGAAATAATCATCTTATCTAGTGACATTGAAAAAGTCAAACCACTTAAAACTAACACTGTATAATATGCTTATTCAAACTTATCTACATATTTGAAAAGCAATTAACATACAGAGTCACGCGAACATTTTGTTCGTCAGTGCATTTGTACCAATTACTTGTGTTCGTCAACTTATAAATATTTATACTAAATAACTGAATAATGCTTTTCCATTTTACAGGATATGACAATAGCTTACTTTCAAATATTGGTTAGAATTATATAAATATTAAGTAAACCTAAAAAGTACAAAATGAATGTCTAATATTTCAAAGTGTTTAGACTGCAATTTTATGCTTGATTTTTGGACATGTCGCCACTTGTTTTTGGACGCAACAGCAACATATATATCTGTAGTGATATAGCTCTATCGAATAAGAACAGTTTCTATATGGAGCGATGATTTTGTACTTTTTTCCACGTTAGAGGATACTGGATTCAGTGAGTATAATTTTGAGAAAAACAATCTTGGAATTATAACTGTTATGGAGACATTGACATTTTTATACATTTTACTGACAGTCTTTTGTAATCATTCTACAAAAGGACAGCCGTGTCAGACTACGTGTGAGTGGATGTCATGGTATGAATGGTCAGAATGCAGCGTTAACGTGTGGCGGCGGGGACAACAGAACAGATTAAGGCCTTTATGTTGTCCAACTGGTTACGACGATATCAACGTCTGTGCAAACTTTTGCAACATAGACGTTAATGAGCAATCCGAGAATCGGTCGTGTGGTGATGTGTGTTTATATGATGGGGACGATGAAGATCGATGGGTACGGTTGTCAGTGCAAAAACAGATCATTTGGTCACTGCTGTGAACAACGTATGTATTTTATGAACCTTGGTAATTTTTTAGCCCGACTGTCACTGCTCAAGGCCCATGACTCTCGCGTGGAATTTAACATAATTATTGCCCTTTTGAACATAGAAAATTCCTCATTATCCAGGCTCTTGTTTTACTATCAAGTACTGAGAATAGTCGATCTGGCTGTTCTACCGACAACTCTTGTTAACTTACGACTTTAGACTTTTTTAATCTCGCCCGTATCACTTATGTGTTTATAATATACAGTGCATTCTTAATTAAACAATGCCATAACTTTTATAAGTAGTAAAAATGATACCAAATGATTAAATTAAGACATATATTCTGTTCACACATTTTTTTTCTGTTAAAAGTCAATTAATTAACTATTTATGTATTGACTTGAGTAAAATAAAGCTCCTATTTCATTTGTTATACAGAGTTGAAATTCAACGGCAATAAAAGTATCTTTCATATGTTTTATGTAAACTTGCAAATTCTTTGATTACGAGAATTAGTCATTATCTTCCCTTTTTTCATACGTTTTGATTTGAATGTTTGAATTTATTGACTAATCTGCAGATTTTAAAACCGACAAGGGCTTTATCGGCTCAAAACAATTTAACATTTACCATCTTAAATATTTTCAGATAATTATGTTCCATTGAAATATTACTGTGACAATTACTTTTTGAAATAACTTTATATGATAAATAACACTTGACCGAATAGACCAAAAATGTGGTTTTATTTTGGCAAAAATGATTAACAAACAATTTTATATCTTCAAGGACTATCTTAATTATAGTAGAAACCGATTGCAAGAGTCAAATATGCAATAATTATCAAATTAACGTCACTTATTTATTTTAAAAGTATTCATGTTAGTCATTGCTCATGTTATGTTTTTGTTTAAACAGACGACTTCAAAGCAGCACGTCTCCTGATTCATGCTATTTTCTCATAAAAATTTTTGAATATGTACATTGTGAAGTGAACAATCAAAGGAATTTCAAAACGGGACTTACATTCCACGTTAATTATCAAAAAGAGACAAAAATATGTAAAAATACCCGGGCCCTTACTGCATTAGTCACGCAGTAGAAATATTTTGATAACTACTGAAAAATGAGTCATTAATCACACAAAACATGTAAATTATTAATTACTTGATTCTTTTTACTTTTTTTAAGATTTTATTTTTTTCTGAAGTTTGATTTTCTTGAAATATTTTGGCACATCAGGAGGCATGCAGCTTTGAAGTCATATTTTTATAATTATGTCTATTTAAAAAAGCGTGTGGTCGAATCGTTCATATGATTCGATTAAGAATAGTCTATTCTTCCTTCATAACAGCTAAAAAAAGACTGTTGTAAGGCATATAGATAAACTGATCACATGACTACTGTGATATCTTTAAAATAACATTTAGAAATCATCATATTGAAACAGTAAACAAAGAATTATTGATGCATCCTCCATAATCTATTTTTCCAGTATTATCGGGATGTGCACCGTTTCCCACAGACGTTATATTTGTGTTGGATTCATCAATTAGTCAGTCTGTTGAACAGTTTGGCCATCAACTGGACTTTGTATTGCAATTTATTGACCACGTAAACATCAGTACAGAAGAATTTCAGATCGCAATAATTACGTTTTCGTTTGACGCAAAAGTGGAAATAACTTTCAATCAGTCTTCAAATAAAGACAGTCTCATAAATTTAATAAATAAAATCCAATTTCGACCTGGGGCTACATTTACTGATAAAGGATTAAGTTTAGCATTAGAAGTTGCAAGACAGAGTGAAAGACGTGAAGGAATGGTCACACTAACGTATGCATTTGTTCTAACCGATGGTATGTCAACCAAACGAGATGACACACGCATTGCTGCAAAGGCATTAAGGGATGCCAACGTTCGCGTTATTGCAATAGGTAATTATATCATCCTTAGTTTATAATAGATTACATCATAAGTTATCAACAATCTCTTTATCTAGGATAAAGAGGTAAAATGTTTCACATTCTTTTTTGGAAAAAGACATACAGAGAAGTGAGTAAATAGAGTTAAAGGCCCATTAGGATTTTTATTTTTATTTTACAAATGCTTTTTTAATTTTGGTGAACTGTTATAGCATCCAATGTGCTCCTGGATGGCCAATTAAGGAAACATCTTTTTCATCTATTGCTTTTTGGCGATAAGTAAAATTCGAGTAAAATAGTATTTTGTATCGGAGTCAAAACACTTCTTTGTTTACATATTGCTTCTTTTATTACCCATTATTTCACATTAGCGCTACTTTTCTTCTGGTAACAAAAATCTAACATACTCTAAAACCATTATTTAAACGTTTTGCCTTTCTAAAGAAGTAAAAAAAATATGTGTTTTGTGAGGCATAATGTGCCTTTAAACAAGAAGCAGTGTGGCATGTATTTTTCTTTTTCATTTTAGGCATTGGAAGGGAAGTGTCTCACCAAGAATTGATAGATATTGCATCACCGGGAGACCAGTACAGTCCGTCCTACGTTTTCTCTGTCGGAGATTTTAATGCCCTGTATGCTTTACTAAAACAAGCTTGTTGACATTAACTTGTGATGACTGTACCGCTTTAAGTCACTTTTCTGATATCGTGTTTCTTCTTGATGAGGGTAATGACATGACGGAAAATAAGTTTGAAATATCGGTTGATGTGATGAAGTCTATCGTGGAGAATACTGATAATATTGGCGGGTATGAAGGTGCCACATTTGCTTTACTCCAACTCAGAAACTCGCTAAAGTATGTAATCAGGCAGTCAAGCGGCCATTCAAAAAGTGACATTATTCTTCAGCTTCAAATTTTAAGTCGGATGAGAAATGATGTTTGCAGCAAAGATGATCAATGCGAGGAAATAAATATCACAACAGCTATTAATGAAACATTTCACAATCTTTACAATAGTACTGGACGTCAAGGAGCTAGAAAAATTTCTTGTCGTGCTTTCAAATGGACAATATGAAGATCCGAGTTCTATAAAAGATGAAATGGCTAGATTTTATGACGAAGTTGATGTAAAAGTTTTTGTAGTTGGTGTAGGACCCGATGTTAATATGGATGGTCTACTGTCTTTGGCTAAAGAAGCTAGTCAAGTATTTGTGACAAAAGACGGCATTGAGAACTCAAAAACTTATAGTCATGCAGTCAGAATTTACGTACAATGTATGCAAATAAACGTTGGTTATATTGAAAATATTTGAAACGATCAGCGTGTTTATAGTCATATAGACAGATTCGCGTACAATATATGTATTTAAACATTGGTTATATTGAAACTGTTTGAAAAGATGGGCGCATTTATATATTCATTCAGTCAGGATTCACATACAAAGTAATGCAATCATACTTATGAGTTTTGGAGTGATGAATTTATTGCAGGACTCGAGTACTCAAGTTCTCGTAAGTACTGGGACGATTTATAAGTCGATGACCACACCATATACTAAACTATAATATTATGTTGTTATTTATACTATAATAATATTATATTATGATATTATATATTGATAACAAAAGTAATGATAAAAATAGAATAAGCGATGCTATTCATATATCCAGGGCGAGGCACACATTTTAAACTCTAGGCAGCTTATTAGAATTTAGAGTTGGTTTTTGCACACTGACTGAATTTATTCTGATTTTTAGTTGACAAGGTATTTTTCTAATAGGCGAAAACTTTTCACAGAGATCCCAGAAGAAGGGGTTCTCCAACGATGTCTGTGGTAATTCATTGCCCACAATCAACGTGAGTACAGCATAAGTAATTAGTGTTGACATGAGTTATGACTGCAAAAACTTTCCGTTTTGTTGAAATAAATTGACACTTTTGCCTTTTTTTTAAAAATAAAATTTCTGTTATGAATGTTGAATGTTATTGTGTACTGATATAACATACAGGTAACTTTTAATGGTTGGAAGAAAATATGGCGGGGATAGAAATTCAACCATAGTAATTTTGTAGTTATTATAACAACTTTTGGTGTCCTGTTATAGAATGCAAACAAAAGATACTAATGACCAATTTTACCTGAACCATTTTCTTTACATCCGTTGTTTGTTTGACAACATGTCCATATATAGTTATTTGATACTTTGCATGGATTAAAAAAACTGCTTTGTTTACATTTGCATTTTGTTATGACAATCAATTTCATATTGAGCGCTACTGCTTTAGACATGATTTAAAACATTATTTAACGCTGTAAAAACTAAAAACTTTGCATGGATTAAAAAACTGCTTTGTTTACATTTGCATTTTTATGACAATCAATTTCACATTGAGCGACACTGCCTTTGGAATGCTTTAAAAACATTATTTGACGCTGTAAAACTAATGCGTGTATGTTTTATGTAAACTTGCTTTTTTATGAAGGACAATTAGTCATTATCTTCCTTTTTTCATACGTTTTTGATTTGAATGTTTTGAATTTATTGACTAATCTGCATATTTTAAAATCGACAAGGGCTTTATCGGCCTCAAAACAATTTAACATTTACCATCTTAAATTGTTTCAGATAATTATGTTCCATTGAAATATTACTGTGACAATTACTTTTGAAATAACTTTATATGATAAATAACACTGGACCGAATAGACCAAAAAAGGTGGTTTTATTTTGCAAAAATGATTAACAAACACTTTTATATCTTCAAGGACTATCTTATTATAATAGAAACCGATTGCAAGAGTCAAATATGCAATAATTATCAAATTAACGTCACTTATTTATTTAAAAGTATTCATGTTAGTCATTGCTCATGTTATGTTTTTGTTTAAACAGACGACTTCAAAGCAGCACGTCTCCTGATTCATGCTATTTTCTCATAAAATTTTTGAATATGTACATTGTGAAGTGAACAATCAAAGGAATTTCCAAAACGGGACTTACATTCCACGTTAATTATCAAAAAGAGACAAAAATATGTAAAAATACCCGGGCCCTTACTGCATTAGTCACGCAGTAGAAATATTTTGATAACTACTGAAAAATGAGTCATTAATCACACAAAACATGTAAATTATTAATTACTTGATTCTTTTTACTTTTTTAAGATTTTATTTTTTTCTGAAGTTTGATTTTCTTGAAATATTTTGGCACATCAGGAGGCATGCAGCTTTGAAGTCATATTTTTATAATTATGTCTATTTAAAAAAGCGTGTGGTCGAATCGTTCATATGATTCGATTTAAGAATAGTCTATTCTTCCTTCATAACAGCTAACAAAGGACTGTTGTAAGGCATATAGATAAACTGATCACATGACTACTGTGATATCTTTAAAATAACATTTAGAAATCATCATATTGAAACAGTAAACAAAGAATTATTGATGCATCCTCCATAATCTATTTTTCCAGTATTATCGGGATGTGCACCGTTTCCCACAGACGTTATATTTGTGTTGGATTCATCAATTAGTCAGTCTGTTGAACAGTTTGGCCATCAACTGGACTTTGTATTGCAATTTATTGACCACGTAAACATCAGTACAGAAGAATTTCAGATCGCAATAATTACGTTTTCGTTTGACGCAAAAGTGGAAATAACTTTCAATCAGTCTTCAAATAAAGACAGTCTCATAAATTTAATAAATAAAATCCAATTTCGACCTGGGGCTACATTTACTGATAAAGGATTAAGTTTAGCATTAGAAGTTGCAAGACAGAGTGAAAGACGTGAAGGAATGGTCACACTAACGTATGCATTTGTTCTAACCGATGGTATGTCAACCAAACGAGATGACACACGCATTGCTGCAAAGGCATTAAGGGATGCCAACGTTCGCGTTATTGCAATAGGTAATTATATCATCCTTAGTTTATAATAGATTACATCATAAGTTATCAACAATCTCTTTATCTAGGATAAAGAGGTAAAATGTTTCACATTCTTTTTGGAAAAAGACATACAGAGAAGTGAGTAAATAGAGTTAAAGGCCCATTAGGATTTTATTTTTATTTTACAAATGCTTTTTAATTTTGGTGAACTGTTATAGCATCCAATGTGCTCCTGGATGGCCAATTAAGGAAACATCTTTTTCATCTATTGCTTTTTGGCGATAAGTAAAATTCGAGTAAAATAGTATTTTGTATCGAAGTCAAAACACTTCTTTGTTTACATATTGCTTCTTTTATTACCCATTATTTCACATTTAGCGCTACTTTCTTCTGGTAACAAAAATCTAACATACTCTAAAACCATTATTTAAACGTTTTGCCTTTCTAAAGAAGTAAAAAAATATGTGTTTGTGAGGCATAATGTGCCTTTAAACAAGAAGCAGTGTGGCATGTATTTTTCTTTTTCATTTTAGGCATTGGAAGGGAAGTGTCTCACCAAGAATTGATAGATATTGCATCACCGGGAGACCAGTACAGTCCGTCCTACGTTTTCTCTGTCGGAGATTTTAATGCCCTGTATGCTTTACTAAAACAGCTTGTTGACATAACTTGTGATGACTGTACCGCTTTAAGTCACTTTTCTGATATCGTGTTTCTTCTTGATGAGGGTAATGACATGACGGAAAATAAGTTTGAAATATCGGTTGATGTGATGAAGTCTATCGTGGAGAATACTGATAATATTGGCGGGTATGAAGGTGCCACATTTGCTTTACTCCAACTCAGAAACTCGCTAAAGTATGTAATCAGGCAGTCAAGCGGCCATTCAAAAAGTGACATTATTCTTCAGCTTCAAATTTTAAGTCGGATGAGAAATGATGTTTGCAGCAAAGATGATCAATGCGAGGAAATAAATATCACAACAGCTATTAATGAAACATTTCACAATCTTTACAATAGTACTGGACGTCAAGGAGCTAGAAAATTTCTTGTCGTGCTTTCAAATGGACAATATGAAGATCCGAGTTCTATAAAAGATGAAATGGCTAGATTTTATGACGAAGTTGATGTAAAAGTTTTTGTAGTTGGTGTAGGACCCGATGTTAATATGGATGGTCTACTGTCTTTGGCTAAAGAAGCTAGTCAAGTATTTGTGACAAAAGACGGCATTGAGAACTCAAAACTTATAGTCATGCAGTCAGAATTTACGTACAATGTATGCAAATAAACGTTGGTTATATTGAAAATATTTGAAACGATCAGCGTGTTTATAGTCATATAGACAGATTCGCGTACAATATATGTATTTAAACATTGGTTATATTGAAACTGTTTGAAAAGATGGGCGCATTTATATATTCATTCAGTCAGGATTCACATACAAAGTAATGCAATCATACTTATGAGTTTGGAGTGATGAATTTATTGCAGGACTCGAGTACTCAAGTTCTCGTAAGTACTGGGACGATTTATAAGTCGATGACCACACCATATACTAAACTATAATATTATGTTGTTATTTATACTATAATAATATTATATTATGATATTATATATTGATAACAAAAGTAATGATAAAAATAGAATAAGCGATGCTATTCATATATCCAGGGCGAGGCACACATTTTAAACTCTAGGCAGCTTATTAGAATTTAGAGTTGGTTTTTGCACACTGACTGAATTTATTCTGATTTTTAGTTGACAAGGTATTTTTCTAATAGGCGAAAACTTTTCACAGAGATCCCAGAAGAAGGGGTTCTCCAACGATGTCTGTGGTAATTCATTGCCCACAATCAACGTGAGTACAGCATAAGTAATTAGTGTTGACATGAGTTATGACTGCAAAAACTTTCCGTTTTGTTGAAATAAATTGACACTTTTGCCTTTTTTTAAAAATAAAATTTCTGTTATGAATGTTGAATGTTATTGTGTACTGATATAACATACAGGTAACTTTTAATGGTTGGAAGAAAATATGGCGGGGATAGAAATTCAACCATAGTAATTTTGTAGTTATTATAACAACTTTTGGTGTCCTGTTATAGAATGCAAACAAAAGATACTAATGACCAATTTTACCTGAACCATTTTCTTTACATCCGTTGTTTGTTTGACAACATGTCCATATATAGTTATTTGATACTTTGCATGGATTAAAAAAACTGCTTTGTTTACATTTGCATTTTGTTATGACAATCAATTTCATATTGAGCGCTACTGCTTTAGACATGATTTAAAACATTATTTAACGCTGTAAAACTAAAAACTTTGCATGGATTAAAAAACTGCTTTGTTTACATTTGCATTTTTATGACAATCAATTTCACATTGAGCGACACTGCCTTTGGAATGCTTTAAAACATTATTTGACGCTGTAAAACTAATGCGTGTATGTTTTATGTAAACTTGCTTTTTTATGAAGGACAATTAGTCATTATCTTCCTTTTTTCATACGTTTTGATTTGAATGTTTGAATTTATTGACTAATCTGCATATTTTAAAATCGACAAGGGCTTTATCGGCTCAAAACAATTTAACATTTACCATCTTAAATTGTTTCAGATAATTATGTTCCATTGAAATATTACTGTGACAATTACTTTTGAAATATATTTATATGATATATAACACTGGACCGAATAGACCAAAAATGTGGTTTTATTTTGCAAAAATGATTAACAAACAATTTTATATCTTCAAGGACTATCTTAATTATAGTAGAAACCGATTGCAAGAGTCAAATATGCAATAATTATCAAATTAACGTCACTTATTAATTTAAAGGTATTCATGTTATTCATTGCTCATGTTATGTTTTTGTTTATAATAAACAGACGTCTTCAAAGCAGCATGTCTCCTGATTCATGCTATTTTTCATAAAATTTTTGAATATGTACATTGTGAAGTGAACACTCAAAGGAATTTGCAAAACGGGACTTACATTCCACGTTAATTACCAAAAAGAGACAAAAATATGTAAAAATACCCGGGTCCTTACTAGCATTAGTCACGCATTAGAAATATTTTGATAACTACTGAAAAATAAGTCATTAATTACACAAAACATGTAAT